GACAGACAGACAGACAGACAGACAGACAGACAGACAGACAGACAGACAGACAGACAGACAGACAGACAGACAGACAGACAGACAGACAGACAGACAGACAGACAGACAGACAGACAGACAGACAGACAGACAGACAGACAGACAGACAGACAGACAGACAGACAGACAGACAGACAGACAGACAGACAGACAGACAGACAGACAGACAGACAGACAGACAGACAGACAGACAGACAGACAGACAGACAGACAGACAGACAGACAGACAGACAGACAGACAGACAGACAGACAGACAGACAGACAGACAGACAGACAGACAGACAGACAGACAGACAGACAGACAGACAGACAGACAGACAGACAGACAGACAGACAGACAGACAGACAGACAGACAGACAGACAGACAGACAGACAGACAGACAGACAGACAGACAGACAGACAGACAGACAGACAGACAGACAGACAGACAGACAGACAGACAGACAGACAGACAGACAGACAGACAGACAGACAGACAGACAGACAGACAGACAGACAGACAGACAGACAGACAGACAGACAGACAGACAGACAGACAGACAGACAGACAGACAGACAGACAGACAGACAGACAGACAGACAGACAGACAGACAGACAGACAGACAGACAGACAGACAGACAGACAGACAGACAGACAGACAGACAGACAGACAGACAGACAGACAGACAGACAGACAGACAGACAGACAGACAGACAGACAGACAGACAGACAGACAGACAGACAGACAGACAGACAGACAGACAGACAGACAGACAGACAGACAGACAGACAGACAGACAGACAGACAGACAGACAGACAGACAGACAGACAGACAGACAGACAGACAGACAGACAGACAGACAGACAGACAGACAGACAGACAGACAGACAGACAGACAGACAGACAGACAGACAGACAGACAGACAGACAGACAGACAGACAGACAGACAGACAGACAGACAGACAGACAGACAGACAGACAGACAGACAGACAGACAGACAGACAGACAGACAGACAGACAGACAGACAGACAGACAGACAGACAGACAGACAGACAGACAGACAGACAGACAGACAGACAGACAGACAGACAGACAGACAGACAGACAGACAGACAGACAGACAGACAGACAGACAGACAGACAGACAGACAGACAGACAGACAGACAGACAGACAGACAGACAGACAGACAGACAGACAGACAGACAGACAGACAGACAGACAGACAGACAGACAGACAGACAGACAGACAGACAGACAGACAGACAGACAGACAGACAGACAGACAGACAGACAGACAGACAGACAGACAGACAGACAGACAGACAGACAGACAGACAGACAGACAGACAGACAGACAGACAGACAGACAGACAGACAGACAGACAGACAGACAGACAGACAGACAGACAGACAGACAGACAGACAGACAGACAGACAGACAGACAGACAGACAGACAGACAGACAGACAGACAGACAGACAGACAGACAGACAGACAGACAGACAGACAGACAGACAGACAGACAGACAGACAGACAGACAGACAGACAGACAGACAGACAGACAGACAGACAGACAGACAGACAGACAGACAGACAGACAGACAGACAGACAGACAGACAGACAGACAGACAGACAGACAGACAGACAGACAGACAGACAGACAGACAGACAGACAGACAGACAGACAGACAGACAGACAGACAGACAGACAGACAGACAGACAGACAGACAGACAGACAGACAGACAGACAGACAGACAGACAGACAGACAGACAGACAGACAGACAGACAGACAGACAGACAGACAGACAGACAGACAGACAGACAGACAGACAGACAGACAGACAGACAGACAGACAGACAGACAGACAGACAGACAGACAGACAGACAGACAGACAGACAGACAGACAGACAGACAGACAGACAGACAGACAGACAGACAGACAGACAGACAGACAGACAGACAGACAGACAGACAGACAGACAGACAGACAGACAGACAGACAGACAGACAGACAGACAGACAGACAGACAGACAGACAGACAGACAGACAGACAGACAGACAGACAGACAGACAGACAGACAGACAGACAGACAGACAGACAGACAGACAGACAGACAGACAGACAGACAGACAGACAGACAGACAGACAGACAGACAGACAGACAGACAGACAGACAGACAGACAGACAGACAGACAGACAGACAGACAGACAGACAGACAGACAGACAGACAGACAGACAGACAGACAGACAGACAGACAGACAGACAGACAGACAGACAGACAGACAGACAGACAGACAGACAGACAGACAGACAGACAGACAGACAGACAGACAGACAGACAGACAGACAGACAGACAGACAGACAGACAGACAGACAGACAGACAGACAGACAGACAGACAGACAGACAGACAGACAGACAGACAGACAGACAGACAGACAGACAGACAGACAGACA